ATCATCTGGAGATCACCAAAACACAATCAAAAATAGGATTTTTACAAAAAAAATAGGGTATAGGGTTTGGATCTTACCGACGCAGGGTCAATCTCATCGGGTCCTTCGTTGTCATCGTCATCCTCTCCGTCCATATCCATGGTGTCGGAGTTGCTGGCGGCAGATGTGGATGCACAGGACAACATCTGCCTCATCCGGACCCCGCGGCCACCACCGCCCATTCCAAAATGTGGCAAACCTTGAGGAGTGGATGTTGTTGGCAGTTTACCGGATGTCGCTCCGGTAAAAAGAGCTCCATGACGGCTACCTCCTAGGCGCACAGCATGGCTACCTCCACGGTTAGTTCTGGAACATGATCCGGTATGCACTGGTCGTGGAGGCTGGAACTGGCCATGAGCAGATCTGCCGCAAGGGCCAAGGGGAGGGAGCCCAATGCTGACCCAAAATGCTTTCGACGACAACTGCCCCTGGTTAAGGAAGATGTTGAGGTTGGGGAACTCAGCCTGGGAGTTTAGATCTAGGCTCTCCATCCGCGTCCGTGGAGCAGAGAGGCTGGGGGAGGCGTAGGGAGAAGAAGGAGCTTGGGAGTACATGCTGAACTCGTCGTTACCGGGGATTTGAGGGTAGGGCTCAGATCCGGTGGTGGGGAAGGAAGAAGACCCGGCAAAGTAATCCTTTTAGTTGTTCCCGTAACCGTCCATGGCGGATGCGGTGTGGGAAGGAGGGAGAGCCGTGGTGGCGACGTGCGGGCGAGATGCGGCGGCGGCGAGCGGACCGACTGAGGACGGTGAGGGCTCGCGGGAGGAGGGGGAGCGGCGGCGCCGGGTCCGCACTACCGGAGCGAGTGGCGGAGAGGATGAGAGAGAGGGCGAGGGAGCGAGTGGCGCTGAGGGTTTCGGGATGGGTGGATGAGGGCGCTAGGAGCAATGATTGAGGGGCAAGGGGTGTTAATTTGGGCCCTTTAGTCCCAATTAGCAGCTCTCCAAGGGACTACTCTAATTTAGTGCCTAGTGTTTGGTTGCAAGGGACTAATTAGGATTAAAATTTAGTCTTTAGTCCCTTCTCCCGTGGAAAAGAACAGGCCCTTATGTACCGACGGCTAACATACATTTTCTTGTGTGATGGAACCTATACACTATATATCGATCCACCCATCACTTTGGAGATTTCGACTCTTGTGTTATTCACCCTGTTCACTGGTTGGTGTTGGTGTCTGTTTGGGCTGGCTGGTGCTATTTTTTGTGAGAGAAAAACACTGTTGGCTGGTTGAATAAGTCCTGACTGAAACCAACAAGCGAACATAGTGATTATTTTCTACCGATCGATACCCTTAATTATGCTAGCTAGCTTTGAACGGTAGGTGTGTTGTGTTGTCCATCAGCTCATGTATGCATGCACATCAAATTTTTGGCTGTATGCGGACTTAAGCTTGCGGAGGATGTGGACACCTTTGCAAGTTTGCATTGTCAAGGTATTGTATTGTCTGTCTCCAAATCGTTCATTCGTAAGCGTAAGGTGGTATAGTACGTGACTGACTGAGTGAGTGAGTACAAATAAATGTGCGTGTACGTAAGCTTCCTTCGTTGTTCACCATTAAAGAACTTACAATCACTTTAGGAATCACCGCTGGTCCGTGGTTTCGACCGCCTGGTCAGTGGCTTCAACCGGCGGTGATAGTCCATCTATCATTGTCGGTTCGTGGCGTAAATCGATAGTAATAATTATTATATAAAAAATATATAACTTTTTCTGATGAGATTTGATTAAAATAAACTTTATATTAAACCGTAGAGTTCAAAGTGATCTAAAATTTTTGTTGTCGACGACTTTTTGATTTGAGATGGCTTATGAGTCCAAATATTGAATATAAGTTGTCATATCAGATTTGACATGATTAACAAAGTCAGATGGAAACAAAGTCAATATCAAAGCGATAGTACTCGACGAGATGTACAACTTTGCAGTTAACAACTATTTCATTTAAGATTGGTTTGAGTATCAGATATACGAGATAAGATTCGTAGATATGTAGTTAAAAGAATTAATAATGTTAGTTATTATATATACTTACATCTTGCGTAGCTCAGCTGGTTTGCACGCTCACGGAAATGTAAATATCGAGTTGGAACTCTCTTCTCTTCTATTCTGGGATGGTGGCTGATGTGCTTGTGTGTGTGTGTTACGGGTTGGGCGAGTGGGCAGATGGAGAGGGTGACGTGGGAGCATCGATGAGCGAGCTTGCTAGGGCGCCTTTAGATGCAAAAATTTTTAGGTTTTAGTTACTGTAGTACTTTCGTTTGTATTTGATAATTAGTGTTTAATTATGGATTAATTAGGTTCAAAAGTTTCGTCTCGCGATTTCTCATCCAACTATGTAATTAGTTTTTTTCATCTATATTTAGTACTCCATGCATGTGTCGCAAGATTCGATGTGATGAGTACTGCGCAAAAATTTTTGGGATCTAAACAGGCCCTTATAGTGAGGAATTCAAAATGCATCAAATTAGGCCGCGTTTAGATGCCAAAATTTTTGGGTTTTGGGTACTGTAGCCTGTTTGTTTATATTTGGTAATTAGTGTCTAATTATGGACTAATTATGTTTGAAAGTTTCGTCTCGTAATTTCTCACTCAACTGTGTAATTAGTTTTTTTTTGTCTACATTTAGTACTCTATGCATGTGCCATAAGATTCGATGTGATGGATACTACGCAAAATTTTTTTAACCTAAACAGGCCTTAATGGCCGGGTTGTACACGCACGCAGGGGCCAGCTGGGATGGATGCATGCATGGTCTGGTCTGGTCGTCTCGCCTGGATGGCATCCCATATGGCGGCTGCTGAATGATGAGAATGCAATGCATGCATGATTCCGCTACTCAGGATCGGAGGAGGCGTCGCGTCGCGTCGCTATTGCAGCAGCACAGCACAGCACAGCCTACTAGCTAGCTAGCGGTGGGGGATAGCAGAGCAGAGCACGCAGGTGTGGTGGTGCTGTGTGCATGCATGGGCAAGGAAGGAAGCTTCGGGGCAGCTTCCTGGATCCCTCTGCCTCCTCTCCTCTTCTCCAATCAGCAGCTGACGCGGGAGGAGAGGAGGCACGCCATGGCCCATATGCACAACACTCGCTCTGATTGCGGCCGGGTCCTCCATCCAGGCCGGATGGCACTCCCCCGGGTGGGCCTGCGCTTGCCGCTGTACATTGCTTTTGCGGTGGCGGTGCGCGGTGACCACCGGCAGGCAGCAGCTACCATCACAACTCGATCCATCCATGACCCTAGCTGATGACCAATTAGCTAGCACCCATGCATGATCCATCCACACCTCCTTGCCTCTGGCCGCTTTGCTTTTGTTTTGCATCACGGTTTCAGGGAACGACTACTACGCCCGGCAAGGCGCGGCAAACTGCATATGCTAGCTTTGCTTGCACCACGTGGCTCGTACGTGGAGTATATCAGTATGCCCGCCTTCCGATCCCACCAACGCCAAACAGGCTATGCCAATACGTTATGCTAAGATCACCTGACCAGGGTGCCTAGCAAAATAATTCTGTCCAATCGACATAGACTTTTCTGATCTAAGAGGTGTAACACTTTAAGATCTACGGCGATTCGCACCCTGTTTGTTTGGCCTTGTTTGTCGTATTTTTTCAGCCAACGAATAATATTTTTCTCTCACACCAAATCAATCAATAGTACTTTCAGCCATGGCTTATCAGCCAAACAAACCTAAGCGAATAGGGCGTCGTTCTTCGGATATGAATCCTAAGAGTATGAGGCCACTAAACTAAAAGCGACCCCATGGTATCAATGTTAGGTAGAGGCTAGATCTGGCAGTGACCCTCTAGGTCGAAGATAGACCCGTCCTATCATTGTCAATTGTAGAAACCAGCAATGGTAGGCGAGCTCAATCATTTAGCTGATAAGTCATGGCTGAAAGTATCGTTGGCTGATTTGGTGTGAGAGAAAAATATTGTTCGTTGAGTGAAAAAGTATGGCTTATAAGTCAAACAAGTCCAAACGAACAGGGCGATTGTTGATTGCCTGATGTTGGGTCCTTTTTTGGAGAGTGATTATTAAGTCTGGACTTGACGGTGATCCATGGAGCTATACGAATGAGTGTGGAAAAACACCCCAAATCTTAGGAATCCTAGTGCTACTGCATGCTTCTATGTATGAATGATGCAAAGAGAAGAAGTAGGAAGCAACATTTGGCTGATTTGATTTCTTGAGGAGGTGGACAAAGTATTTAGCTTTTGGCGGATTATATGTGTTGGGGAGAGGTTGACAAAGTATTGATTTGTACTATGCACCAAGCAAGCAGTTTGATGGTGTGGAACTGTGGATGAGGCGTGCGTGCGTGTGAAGTGGTGTACTAGATAGGGCTAGTGGGTTACAATGTATATATTTGTGGATAACACGTCAAGAAGCACCGTCAATTATATTATATCAATATTTCTTGCTTGGGTGGTTCCACTACTCAGGCCTGATTCAGTTCCTAAAAAATTTCGCCCTAAACTATCACATCGAATCTTGCGGCACATGCATGCATGAAGTATTAAATATAGATGAAAAAAACTAATTGCACAGTTTGATTGAAAATCGCGAGACGAATGTTTTAAGACTAATTAGTCCATGATTAGCCATAAGTGCTACAGTAACTACCATGCGCTAGTGATGGATTAATTAGTCTTAATAAATTCGTCTCGCAGTTTCCAGGCGAGCTATGTAATTAGTTTTTTTTATTAGTATCCGAAAACCCTTCCGACATCCCCGAAATATCCGACGTGACATCTAAAAATTTTCATTTCGCAAACTAAACACAGCCTCACATGCAGTGGGATCTTAATGGAGAGTCGGCTGCCGCATGCCGTTATTACAGGCCAGGAATTCATCTGATAATATTCTGATCTGAAGAGTAATTATGAAGTTAACGTGGCAAACTGAGGATCATGCATGCATGCATGAGTTGGGGAAAAAAAAAGAAACAGAAGGATGAATGGTGATGGATGAGCAGGCAGGTAGAGGTAGGTAGTAATAGCAAGACACGGCGGTCCTCCAGCTCCATTTGCATTGCGAAGTGTGAATTGGCCTGGTCGGCGCGTCAGGGTCCAAACAGCTCCGTCCTTCTCCTGGGTGGTCGTCCTGGTCCAGGCATCAGACTAGCTTGTGCGCCGTGTGCGAGCGGAGTCGGAACTCGGAACGCTTGCGGGTTCCGGATTCCGGCTGGGACGCGCGCGCACGGAAGCACCACCACCCAGCCGCGTGTCCGCGTCCGTTTGCGCGTCAGCGGCTACTCAGCAGGTCTGGGCTGGATCTGTCTATAAAAGGCAGGCGAGCCCCCGTGGGTTAGCGCCGCCCACGCACACGCACACGCACATTTTATTGTAACCCCGACCCAACCACCGTCGTCTGTCCTAGCGTAATTAAGGAGCTGGCGGCGTCTTCTACTTCTAAGCTGGAGAGAGCTGGAGCTGGACCAGTGCGCGGCGCCACCGCCGGAGAGGGCGACGAGATAGGCATCGACCCGCCGGAGACTCCGGAGCAGCGCAACAAGTTCCTGGTCCTCCGCCTGTACGAGGCGCTCAACGCCCGGGACCACGCCGCCGTGCAGTCGCTGCTCGCGCCCGACCTCGAGTGGTGGTTCCATGGCCCGCCCAAGCACCAGCACATGATGCGCCTCCTCACCGGCGGCAGCGGCAGCGGCAGCGGCTTCCGCTTCGTCCCGCGCTCCGTGGACGCGCTCGGCACCTCCACCAGCAGCAGCACCGTCATCGCTGAGGGGCAGGAGGGGCGGTGCTACTGGGTGCACGCCTGGACCGTGGGCCCCGATGGGGTGATCACCCAGCTCCGCGAGTACTTCAACACCGACCTCACCGTCACCCGCCTCGCCGCCGTCGCCGCCTCCGCATCCGCCAAGTGCGTGTGGCAGAGCCGCCGCCCCGACAGCGCCACCAACTCGCTGCCGGGCCTCCTCCTCGCCCTCTGACTCTGATCGATCGATTCCCATCCATGGGAATTGGATTGGATTAATCAGATCAGATCCATCCATCACCCAAGCCGTCGTCGTCGTCGTCGTCGTCGTATATTATATTGGATTTTTGCTCGCGCCTTTTCTTTCACTATCGTCGTCATTGAGTACTACTCTAGTCGTGTGTGTATCCTGTACGTACCGTATACCTACGTATTGTACGTGGGCCACCCCCACCAAGGCCCATCATCACCTAGTAGCCACCTACAGGAGTAGCTTCGTCGTCGCCGCCGCTGATCCATGGCGACGTCGCGTTCCTCCTCGTGTCCTGCTGCTCCTGCTCTATTATTCGGCTTGTACTACTGCAACCCACTAGTATTATTGTACTTGTACTCCAATAAAACACTAGTATCATTATTATTGTGTTCCGTATATTGCCTGCTTAATTATTCATTCATCGTAAACCTTCTACGATCCTCCGTTTAATTTTACATATCTATAAATTATTATTATTGCTACTAGTTTATTTATTAATTGATTCTAAATAGGATCACAGATTATCCGTTATTACTTGCTACTGCTAAAGTAGGAGTATACCCTAGTTTAGGCCCCGTTTACATGCGATTTTTTTTGGCTTTTTGGCTACTGTAGCACTTCGTTTGTATTTGGCAAAAATTGTCTAATTATGGACTATTTAGGCTTAAAAGATTCGTCTCGTTAATTACGGACAAACTGTGCAATTAGTTATTCTTTTTACCTACATTTAATGCTCCATGTATGAGGCGTAAGATTTGATGTGACAGGAAATCTTGAAAATTTTTTATTTTAGATGGGATCTAAACAGGGCCTTATTTAATTGATTCTAAATAGGATCACATCACATGGACGATGCGACATCACTATTATAATCCTTGACCTATGTATCTCAAACTTTGACCGCATGCATCCATCCATCCGCGAATCAAGGGCGCGTTTAGTTCGACAAACTTTGTATAGTGTACGATTTTTCACTATAGCATTTCATTTGTATTTATGAATTATTATCAAAACATTGACTAATTATGCTCAAAAGATTCATCTCGCAAAGTTAAAGTAAACTGTGCAATTAGTTTTTGATTTCGTCTACATTTAGTACTCTATGCATGTACCGTAAGTTTGATGTGACGAGAAATCTTCTTTTTGTATAGTGTATTTTGAAAAACTAAACAAGGGCCAATTCAATTGCAGATGTATATATATGTAGTCATCAACAGTAGTATATAACATATTTATTAAAACTAACTAGTCGTCACATGTAGTGTATCTCCATCTGATGCGTGCTACTGTTAATAAACATCAATCAAATCAAATAATAATATTACCTTACCTTGCAAGCAAGGTACTAGTAGTATATGCCTGCCTGCCTGGATTTGAGCTTCTAAAGAAAAGAAAGCGGAAAAGGTCTCATTACTCGTCAAATCCTTTAGTTATGATCGAATCAATGACAGGTCTGCTCTGCTTTTAGTAATTCAACAACACCTTGGCCTTATCAAAAACAACAACAACAACAACTTGCATTGGCCTTTCAAGTTACCCGGCGGAAAGCAAGCTTAACCTCTGGCCAAAGTTCACGCCGCCACCATTTTTAATTAATTTTCATAAAGTTAATTAATCTCTAAAGTAAATTAAAAGGGGCGACGACAAAAGTTAACGGCGGGCAGGCGACATGAGGATTTTAGCCGCCCTTCTATATCTCACATCATTCAACATTAAAAACAAATACTTTCTCTCTCTCAACAAATTAATTTCTAGAGTTATCTTAAGTCAAGCTTCTTGTGTTTCCTTGAATTTATAAAAAATATTTATTATATCAAATGAACATATTATAAAAACATATTTTATGATGTATTTCATTTTTTTAAAACACACGGGCGAGTCTCCGGGATACTCTTAAGAAGAAAGGTGAGGCGCCGCGAGGGAGCTAGCGCTCGAACCGCGCGGGCAGCCTAAGCCCCTGCTCAGCTGACCAACTGAGCCCCCCGCTCGGTTCTCATGATGTATTTAATGATATTGATTTTGTGTTCTAAGTCTTGGGGCTCTCTTCTTTTTATAAAATTCGATCAAATTAAAGTACTAATTTAAGATAATCTTATAAATTTATTTATCAAGCAAACCTCCACTCCACATACAGTCCACATAGATAGTAGATGGGCTATGGGCGACTCTGACTCTCAGTACTGTCACGGCATCCATCCTTCTTCGCCTCTTGCACCCGTATAGGTATAAACCTTCGATCCATTTCATCACTAGAAGCCACAAATGTTTCCTTATCTAACTAGCGTCTGCATCTGATTTTTTTTTTTTTGAACAGCATCTGAATTCTTCAACCAGGCGACTTGTATAAAAGCGTCTTTTTCTTTCTCTTTCTTATATTACTGCCATCATACAACTTGGCCCTCTTGCATTGGGCTCCGGGAACAAGTTCATTCTGCTCTTCTTCTGCAATGTTTACTCTTTTCTTTTCTGCTTCCGCCAACGCGCACACACGCTGCTTGGCCTCTCCTCCCCATCCTTGTGCAGACGGCAGACCGTTACAAGTTACAACTAAAGCCTTATTTTGGACAAGTTCTTTACTCGGATATTTGGGTGAAAGTTTATTCCTCGAATTGAGTGTTATTGGTGTGTCTTGTCTTTTCAATTTTTTTATAAGGTCCTTGTATCAACTCGCGATCTTGACTTTAATAAAGTTTTCTTTATAAAAAAAAACACATGCCTACACGGTTAACAGGGATTATACTCACTCTGTTCCATTTTATTTGGCGCAGGTTAGAATGACACGGTCTCCTAGATTACACTTTGATAATTCGTTTATTTTATATTATATTATTTATGCTTATAAACTTATAATCATTGGGTAGTATAATTCTTTATAAATTTAATCATATAGTTTGTATTATAATAGGTAAAAATTATTAGCCTAATTATTGGTTAAAGTTTTTAAAGTTTGAATCTTAATATACGTATGCGCTAGATAAAATGGAACGGAGGTAGATTACTCTTAGCAGCAGGTTACATAGAGTCCTGCGCGCGCGATATGGTGTTGGTGGCGCATAGCATAATCCATATCCATTATTCTATTTTCTATTTCCATCCATATCCTTGTCCAAAGCTAGTGATTAAGCAAGCTATCTCTTTTATTCATTCGCCTACCAGAGGCGACCAACCGAGATAACAAAGTGCACGTCTCTGATCACTGCTGCAGAATTGATTTTTAGGGGCGGCTTGTAAATGTTTGTAGGGGCGGTTTGGCCAGTCGCTCCTACCGAACCGTCTCTATAAATCATGTATACAAATCGATTTGTAGGGGCGGCTCTGTAGTACCTACTTGTTTATAGGAGCGGCTCAATCTAGAACCGTCCCTTACAGTACGTTTTCCCGCAAAACAAATTCAAATTTACAATTCAAAATTGTGTTGCCGAACGCCCCGCGACCAACGTTCCGAACCGCGTTCGCGTTGCCGAACGCCCGCGACCAACATTCCGAACCGCGTTCGCGTTACCGAACGCCCCACGACTAACGTTCCGAACCACGTTCGCGTTGCCGAACACCCCGCGACCACAACTATAAGCACAAGAGTATTATATAAACTACAATTACAAGTCCAATTCACAAGAATATATACAACCCATTATTAAATATACAAATTCCATACACATTGTTATCAACGTCCTAAAGCTAGCCTTTCAATCTCACGAAGGTGTTGGTACTGAGGATTTCTACCTAAGCCAGACTCTCGGTCATGGTAGGCGCCTCTGACGTGTACAATCTGGTCCAATATGAAGTTGCAAAGGTCGCCGACGAGCTCTAAGAGTTGGTCATCCTTGTATGGGTCTCTTTTCATTTCTTTCTCTTCTCTCCACTATAAGAGAACAAGTTTCGATTTAGTATTTCATACCATGTACGAATTTTTCATACTACGAGTGAAGAGGTTCAAACTTACCCTTAAGGGGTGTCTTCTGTAGGTACCGGTGTTACTCATCATAGAACATATATAGTATCCACAATGTACACTCCCAGTCTTCTGCTTGGGGCATTGTGTGTTTTGCATATAAAAATGTTAAGTAATGCTTTTGACAGCCATGTAATGGAGTACTGAAGAAGTAAGTTACACTTACCGCACATAGTGTTTTTATAGCCAACTTTTCCTTTCTTGCTGGATCATGCCTTCCGTGATGATTAGTGACATAGAACCTAAATCCTCTGTTCGAATTATTTTAGCAAATACAACTTGTTAGAATCCAAAAGTGAATGTTACAAGTACGTATACAAATATATAAGCTAATGAGGATTGTCGATATGTATACGTCTTGAGAATCGATATGAAGTCTTTGTATGTCACCGGGTCCTTATCTATTGAATCAAAGACCCATGCCATGCTCCTCCCGACATCGACGGCTATACAACGTCGGAATGACTCTCCCATCATCCTGAAAGCGTTTTTTTACCAATTCGTGCTTTCCCTCCGAAAATCTAAAATTGAGCTTCAGCTGTCTATCCCATAGTGTATTCTTTGTGTTCTCTGGTACCTCTTTCTAGTTAGGGATTGTTGGGTTCAATTTATCTCTTACTAGGGCCCCGATCGCATTACGGAATCGTCCTCTTAACTCCTTTGGCTCAAGGATCTCTCCTGCTGGCCTGACCTTCGTTATCACATAGCATGCTTTATCTGGATATAGATTTCCTTTTCTATCCCCTCGTTTTCTCTTAGGCTTGGTAGTCGTGGTTGTGTCTTGAGGTTATGGAGCAGAGGCATCGTGATCCGTCTTTGTGGTTGTTGCCTCTGCTCTTCTTTCCTCTACTCCGTCTTGTCTAGCGAGATGTCGCGGACGTCGACGTCGTCTTTTCTTGTTTCGTGGAGGACTGAGATATCGATAGGTCAAAGTGTTAGCAAAGGTAACACAGCTCACCTTTCTAAACCGTCGGTTCGGTTCCTCGGTCATTCGGTCCGATTCGGTCATCGAAACAGGACCGATCGGTCT